CTTCTTTATTAATCAAGGGGCCTGAGAAGCTGCTGCAAATAGAGCTGCTGATGATTCAGTAGTTTGGTAGGAGGGTCATCTGAGGATTAGAGTCTGTAAACAGCCTTTATGAAAAGATAAAATTTTTTGTCAATTAATTGGCCTGAAGAATCTTGTCATTTCAATCTGTCATTGTTGAATTTGATTTTACTGCAATATTTTGAAATGAAGCAAAAAAGGAAAAGTGTCTAGCTAATGCTTTTGGCAAGCTCTCTGTTACTTAATAGCTTCTTGAAGTCCTAAATTTCTTCGTTTTTCATCTTAATTAAGACTTTTAATTGACCTTCTGTGCTCTCTAATTTCTCCCAATAAAGAATTAAAGAATAGGCTTCTAAATTCTTTTCTGTAATCAGATTGACGTGAAATTGCTAGTCTACAGATCATCTCCGCCTTAACAAACATTTTTTTTCCATTTTTATTTTTTTACCACTGAAGTCCCCACTGGAAATTACAGTCCATTGAACCATAGAGCTAGAATTGATTGTGCGCATAAAAATACGGGAACAACTGAACAAAGCAAAGACCTTTCTGGAATTCCATGGTAAAATCAGAACTCAAGTGACAACAAAACTTTTATCCAATTTGAACTCTCCTGCCCTTGATCATTAAGAAAATATTTGATGTTCCTCCATTTTCCCCTGATGAGAGAAGGAACTAGTTTTCCCTTCATTTAGCCTACATCAGAACATGGTTATAGATGTCAAAAAAGATGAATTTCAGTCACCAACATTTTTACGGGGCACTCTATTCCATCTTCTTTATATCAGTTTCTTAGGCTTTTTGTATCAGAAAGCCAAGGCTAAAAACCCTGTCTAATTGGGTTTTTTTAATTATTTTTAAATTAAAGCTTTATGTATTACACATTACAATTCTAGCAATCCTAAACGTGCTTTTTACCATTTCCTTCTAAAATATATAAGGGAAGTCTCCTTTTTAAGGTGGTGTGGAGAAACTATAGTCCATTTTTTCTACTGGAGTTTATGGAAAGCATTACTAAAAATGTAAATTCTATGTTTTGAGACTTGAAACTTGCAAGTAACTGTTAATCTTGGAGCTTACTTTTATATTCTGAGATGAAATAATGACATTTTAAGCACTTAAACCTTCACTAAGAGCAAGATAGGCAAGCATATACTTTGTTTCAAGCATCTTAATTAAGTTGATTCCATTGGTCTTTTCATGTGTTTAATGTTAAGCATATGCCTATGTACTTTTCTGAAACGCTGGATGGTATTTAGGAGGATGAATTACATCCCAATAACTAGCATTTCTTTAAGAATCCTAATAATGTAGGAAGTATGCAAAATAAGCTTTCATTTTCAAGATAAACAGACAAAGCAACTTTTTGTGAGCATTGCCTTTTTATTGCTGGATCCAACTGTAAATCATGTCTTGAACACAAAACCATCTTTTTAAATGTATTTTTTGAAAAATAGTGCATTATTTTCTCCTGAGCTGTTGAGACAATTTCCTGCCTAGTTCTGGTGCCCCATTAATTTTAGAGTATAAGAAACAGTCACTGTAAGCCATAGGGAATTTTGGATTAGCTGCACACACATATACATTACAATAGATTTGCCTATAGTAGTTCTATGGATCATGTTTAAGAAACTCCAGTTTTCCCTATTTTGGGATTAATGTCCTCCTTCCCTCAGACCTTTGCAGTACCATAGCCTTGTGCTACACATAAATGGAGGATTCTTTTCTTTTCAATGTGTAAAATTTGAGATTTGAATGCAATTACAGTAACAAGAGGAACTCTTTCTAATGAGTCTCAAAACGCCCTGGTCAGAAAACATGTAAAACTCTCCTGTAGAGAAAGAAATTAAGTGCACCGTGTTAGCATAATAGCAAGGGCTGAAACATTGCTTTGCACTACAGTTTTATGGGATGATATTTTAAAAGGCATTCAGAGATTTATGACTTTTTAGGGACAGTGTTTTCACGTGTCTAATATTGCTTTCATTACAATGTCGAAAGTATGTTTACAGTATCAGATTGCATTCTAAGGTGTTACCAAAACATCCAGAATCCCCACTGCTTAAGTATTTTCCCCTGTATCCCTATGTATCTTCAGAGGAAAAAGTGGGAGGAATGCTTTGTTTTAAACTATATTAATCTGTATTCTGTCATGTACTTCATCTCCCAGGGAAGGTATCTGGGAACTCACTCTGCTCTTTTTATTTATCCTGCCAGTGTAGTATATAGATGAGAGGACTAAGGTCCAATGGTGTTAAAACAAGGCATGAAATATTGATTAATTCTTTTTTAAAATTCCTTTTTCCTCCTGAGTATAGCAAACTTCAGATGCTACTGTCAATGTAGTACTCTCCAATAAACCTCCATTATCGGAAGGGTCCTGATAGTCATAGTGTTCTTATAAATGGTTATTATGATTCTAAATGGCTTTAAAAGCTCAAGGCTAGTGTTCTTCTGGTGCAAGAGCAGAAAGCAAGCTAGAAGCAATGCAGCTTTTTATCATGGCAGAATGTTACTCTGAAATAACATGAATTGGATTGGGAATTCTCTTTGCTAGAGAGTAGCAGAACATTCTGTTTGAAGAAATGAAGACCCTAACAGGACAGATAAACAGATGTACAGTTTCATGACTATAAAGGCATCAAGAAGCACAATTATAGGTGGTGTCCACCTAATGAAACAGGTATTTGACACCCTGCCTTTTGTTCCCACTTGTCATTCTTCAATACTGTTGGGATTCAAGAGGTCTGTGAGAGAATGGACATGTGAGCAATCCTGTGTGAGAACAAGACTGATAAGAGCCTCAGTGTGAGCAAGAATGTGATAAGGATGTGACCCTGAATGAGGGGGGAGAAACTCTACGAGACAAACAACCCCCGGAAGAGGTTGGGACGGAAGAGGAAGTTCCACAAGGCAGGAAGCCTGGCAAGGCCGATGTGGCACTTTTTACCCAATCATAAGAAGGTTTAAAGTGCGGGCTAAGTTAACTGTCCAATCTTGAGGATTTGTACTGCATGTTACATGTGCAGGAGAACATTATAAAAGGGCTTTCTTAGTTGTAATAAACCAATGCTTGATCACATTGCTTCTGTGTGTGCTCAGCTCTCCCGCACAACGCTGTTAACCCTTTACTTACTGTTTCTAGAATGGTCCTTTATGAAAGGAGCTAAACAGATACTTAGGAGTTTTCCCAAGGAAATGAATGCTTCAAGAAAGGTAGAGATAGAAGTTCACACCAGCTAACCCATGAAGGATGATAGACAGGGGCAAGGAAAAGAAGTTGTAGCCCAAACTACTTTCGGTGTTCTTGAGTACAATGAAACTCTGTGGGAGTTGAAGTAAATGTTTTTCACTAAAAGAAGAAAACATTTGTTTAAACTGGAGTGTACTGGAGTTTCTTTAGGAATGTAAAGCTTTTGGAGCTTTTCTACCATGCATAATAGAAGGTATTCATCAGAGAAGGAATTTGAGTCTCAGTCCTGTATGTGTCAGGTAAATGTCATTATAAAGGTTGTACAACTACTTTTTCACCCATGATCTTAATTAGCATTTAGTCAAACTTCAACAAGCACAAGTGAGGAAGTAACACAGAATCTCAGCCAAAGCCACTGATTGGCAGATTTACCTGGAAGGCAGGAGACGGTAGTATTGCTCTGAATCAGGAAGAAGCACCTGAGGTTGGTTCTTCTGTCTTGCAGGAAAGTTAGGGTTTATGGACTGGATAAGTTGCTATATGATATTATTTTTCCACATGAAAGCTTTATCCCTACCCCAGGATGAAAATGTTTTCAGAAGATTTTGTTGATGGGGATAACTGATTTTCACATGGGCATACCTGGGAGTTCTGTTGCTGCAAAACTTAATTGTGTGCAAACCTTAGGCTACTTTAACTTATGATGGAGAACAGACTGCTCCCTGCTGTACCCAAAAGCTAAGTGCTAAAATATGTGGCACAAATGATCCCCTCCTCTCACTCACACCCAACTCTCTCAAATTGAGCAGAAGTTGGGGCTCTATTAAGATGGTTTTATGACTTTTGTGATATCTTTCTTTGGAAAATGCACAAATTAGTTATAATTTTAAGGTAATTATTTTCATTTATTTTAGTCAAACTGAAAGTAATACAGGCAGAAAGCTGGACTTCAACCAGTTTGTAAGCAGCAAGGCCTAAGTGTGTTCTTACTACTTATGAGGTTTTAAAGCAGTAAGTCTTGCTTGCTCAGGTTATATGGGTATCTCTACCGACTCCTAGTCCCCCACTGGTAACACCTGCCTGAGAGAGTGAACAGGATTTGATCTGTAATTAACAATGCATACATTTGCTCACATAGCCACTGTGTGAGCCGAATCCTTACACATGTCATTTGGTCTCACAAATGCAAGTAATACTTTTGAACTGATTTAATGCAACTAATTATTTGAGCAAAAGTTATCAATCTGGGCACTGTCCTCTTGTGTTTCTCTCTCTCTTAGATTATCTTAAAGAATGATAAGACAAACTTATGTAAAGGGATATGTACAGAATTTTGATTTTCAAAGCCTTGTATTAGATGGTTTTCTACCAATGTGTCCTTGAAAGTTTCATTGGTATGTGAATTTTCAAGATGAGGCTAGCACACTGCAGATTAAGATTTTGCTTGTGGAAGAAGCTCTCTGCCAATAGTTTGTTTTTTGGTGAACTTTATCTCATTTTGCACACGCTACTAATGGCTATCTTTTGGATGTAAAAATAAATTATTTTCTGTCTCATGGGAGATGCATTGTTTAACTTCAGATATTTAACATGGTATTTTTTCTGTGGACAATGTCCCCAGGCCGGGAAGAATGAAAGCATATATATAAATAATTCAAAATATTGTATGGTTTTGACAGATTGTCAAGCTGTTTAATGCCTTTTCTCCCAGGTTATAGATTATATTTCTTTGATAAAGTGTTGATAATTTCTCAATGCAATTTGTTTTGTGTATGTTGTATTTTTACAGAGTCCAGTCAGGTTCATATCTCAGTACGGGTTGGTTTACCTTAATTTTGGCTATGGATGCCTGCTATGGAATTCACGTCTATGGGATGATAAATGACACCTATTGCAAGTAAGATCACAGGAAATTATTTTCATACATCTACAATTCTGCTGTCTTGTCAAAATTTCACAACTGATTTTAATATCATAAATCCAAAAAATGGATCAGGCAGTCATTTCCCAGTGTTTTCGATGTGACACTATTGTCAGCATATTTAGCCCTGATATGTCATTTGCTGTTGATAAAATAAAAACATTTAAAAAATCTAACATCAGAGGTCACATGGAACTATTTTTAATCAAAGATCTTTTGCAGTTTCTGAATTAGCTGCAAACAAAGTATTTGCATACTCCTCTGACAAAATGTACTTACTTCTAGTGCTAAATCAAATCTTTAGAGGAAATACTAATATATTAGATCTCTGAATGCCAAATACACCTGGAAGTGAAAGAAACTGATTAGCCCAGGATAGTTACCTGAAATTACATTTCACCACCACTGAGCAACCTACTTGAACTTTCTAGGTTATATATGGATTCCTTTGAGTAGTAGGGGGTTTCTAATTAGATAATAAAACAAGTCCTGTGAGCTTTATCACAGTAAACTGACATAAATTCCAACCAACTACTGTTAGTGACCTTACAGTGACAATGGATTAATCCTATTGTCAGAAGTATAACTCTAAATACAATTAAAGCACGTTAAATGCTTTAATCTGTAGTGTATGGTAGAAAAATATAAAATAAAACTATTGCTCATTCAGAAAAGTAGAAAATGTCATAATCAATGTATGATACTAGTACAAATCTATTCTTCTGTACCTAGGCTGGTTCAAATCTTGCATGTAACCAGTCCAGTGGGTACTCAGCTCCTAGAGTAAAGTCTTTGTGCAGACACTCACTCCACATTCTGTGTTACTCTACTGTGGGATGCATTCTTGGCAAAAAAAAAAAAAAAAAAAAAAAAAAAGAGGAATTGGAGTCACAGCTGTTTAATTAGGGTATCTTAACATTAAAGGCTGACTTTTTAGAACTTGCAGATCTCACTGATTGAGTCATCCAGATGGAACGAACATATGTTGTTCTTTGTTTATGAAAACACAGTGGGCGCCCTGAGATGAGGGGTGACAGGACTAAAGTTGTCCTCACAGGGTTCAGCCAAGCTGGCATTGCATAGCCCTGATGTAAAACCAGTAAACAGCATGATAGCACTTCAGTCAGTTGACAGCAGAGAAGGATTAAAGCTGCAATTCTGACTGCATTACCTGCTTATAATATGTATTAGTCTTATAACTGCCTTGTTCAGCTAGTGCAAGAACCAATTTCAAGAGTTGGGACTATCCAATGAGAAGACTTGCTTAGAGATAGATGGAGCCTTATGGACTGAGTCCTCCAGGTTAAGTAAAACGTGCAGTACACATAAGAGCCAGTCCATCAGCTTCTTACTAACTGATAAGATCAGCGTATGTTGAGAGATACACTTCTTTTCATTTTCTATAGGTAAATTGATACAAATCACGCTGTAATGAAAGCCTTTCTACAATTTAGCAAAGGAGCTCAGGTGCTGACACATGAAAAGGATTTCAGATAATTCATGTATAGTATATATTAATGTTTTTCTTGGAAATAATACTTAGGTGTATCTTTTTTTTTTTTTTTTCCCTAGGTCAGAAGGTTTTCGTAAAGTTCCCTACCACTATTACGAGCCAGGAAGAGATGAGTGTGAGGAATACTTTCTGCATGAAAACGCTCCATATGGAGGCCATAGGTTTATCACGGAAAAGAAAGTATTTGCTAAATGGGCCAAGAAACACACAATAATATTTACACACCCCAACTGGACAGTGTCTTGATACTGGTTTTCTTAACTCTCCCTTAACATCATATTACAAAAATGTCTGAGTTTACAGTAATTTTGCTTACATGTGGCTGGCCTTTCTCAGCCTAGGTAACACTAAACTAAAAACTGGAAGACAAAGAGGGTGATGGTTCAGCTGTTAAGCAAAATTAATCCTCTGTGGAAGGCAGACACATTGTTTATTTCTTAGGGTTTTACTCCACACAATGCACTTTATACTTTAACTGGATTTTACTTCAAGGCAGTAGCAGTTAAAGAGAGATGAGATTTCCTGTATATACAGGTGCACACAGAGAACATGGTTGTCCTTTAAAACTTGTCCATCACCTTAGTTAATTAACTATAGCACTAGTTCCATTTGAGGTACTAGTAGAAATTTTCCACAAAAGAAATAGGAGGAAAATATAGACCTCTAAGGTCTATGAGTGAGTAAATTTAAAAAAAACCCACTTGAAAACATTGAAAGATGTGAGCACTTGCATATATGGTAAAATTAGAGATGAGCTAAACATGGTTCTTGAACTGTACACAACTCTTTCATGAGTCTTTCCTCAAAGCTCCTGATTAATTCATAACTTCTGAAGTGCAGCTTTCTTCCACCCTGGTTGGACTGCACCATCTTGTGTTATATACTTTTTGAGGCTGTTGTCCCACAGTTTAGCCCCAGCAGCACAGCACTTAGCAAAGACTGTGTTTTGCAGCCCATGCTGGACCTTTGGCTGCTGTGCCAAGCCTGCTATCAGTACCCAACCTGGTTAGTGTGAAGTCTCATGAACAACTCCATTTACTCTGGTTGTGCCTTTGAGTTTCTCCAGCATCCCAATAACAGCATTTTGACAGTATTTCCCATGCAGCCATCATAATTTATTTTACATCTCCAGTTTCTCCACCTCTAAAAACAGTGATAATATTTATCTACCTCACAAGGGAGTTGTGAGGATTAATTTATGTCCATAAAGCACTTCCCTGATGAAGGATGCTATACAGCATTTGTTCTTAACACAAAACCAATGGTACCTGTCATTTATTCTTGTCTGTTGGGTATATGAAGAAAGTGACATCATGTCTGGATCTGATGGTGAATTGTTCTGTGCACCCACATTCCTACTGAGGATAATTAGTAATACTGAGTTCTCTCAGCTTGTATTGCTTCATATGAAGTTGAAAGAACTCACCACCTCACAGTATTATCTGCACATCAAGAAGCAGTTCAAGGATTTTAAAATATGCTCATCTCTAGTTGAAATATTTCCAAGCTTACTCTCAGTTTTCAGCTGCAGCAGACTTATTTGTAACATGACCATAATTCAACTACACATGTGAATTTTATTTAAACTGTATTTAAATTAATGCTTTAAGTTTAGAATGTGTCCTACAATTATTTTAACATCTGGAATGTCAGATTCAACACTGTAATAGCCAATACTGTGAACACTTGAAAGAATTGTGTGTGGAACATGACACACAGGGTTTACTCACACTACTTAAACATTAACCAACAGGAAACTTTGTATGCTTTTGTAAATCATGAAAAGGGGAAAGTAAAAAGCTATTTTTACATGTAAGTATTTGTATACTGACTATTTCCTATTGTATATTTGTATATATAAATCTATATTTTGTATGTTCATGGCATATATATTCTCCCATCAGCAGCTGCAACTCTTAGGATGGGGAGGAGACCTCTGCACTGGTGCTCCTCCTCCTGATCATTGGTTTCTTGTTCCTGTTGGTAGGTGATGCCAGGGTATCTTCTCTCTTGCCCCTTCTATTTGCTACTGTAAATGCAGCTTTCTGGTTTTATTTTTAATACAGCTCAGCTTTCACTGCTTACTTTAGTGCTATAAGTGTTCATGCTGGTTGTCAGACAAAGGCTGGGGCCATGCTAATGATCCTGGATAAACATCTATATTCAAAACCAGTCTTTGTCCCAGACTTCTTGTGTCACTTGATGCCTGACCTTCCTGTTTGGAAAAGGAAAACAATAGTGTTTTCCTACTCCTTGTCTTGACTGACTTTCTTGTAAGCTCATGAGATGGATATTCTCATTTGCAATGTATTTATATAATGACTTGCAGAAGAGGTGTCCAAAGTGTCTTCAGGCTACAGGCAATGCTGTAATACACAAATAATTTAAAGTGGCTGCTTCTTGTCCCTGGCCTTTAAAATCAGTCGTAGGCTAATATAGCATGGGAAGAAATCAAAAGGGGAAAGGGTCATGGATGGATGAAGAGTTGTAGTAACAAAAGACAATGAGCTAGTTTTATCACTATATGCATCTTTTCAGTTCAGATAGATGGCTGGATAGATGGAAAGCTAATAAAAAAATTGTACTGCAGTGTTTGAAGAATGCAGAACATGCAGAACTAGGGAGAATGTTCCATGTATATTGTACAGGGCAGCCTGGGAAAGCCTATAGCTCCCTTGTGGGAAGAGGAACTGAAAAGGAGAATGTCAGTCAAATTGAACTTGTATTTAGAAGGTCTTCAAGTTAGTGTAAGTCACTATGGAAGTGCTGCACATGGAAGCACAGTTGGGCTGGACAGACTTACATGAGAAGTGTCCTCATGAAGCATAGTCTTCCTCCCCAGCAAGCACAGCATAAGGATTCTGCCTGAGCTGTATTCACATGCAGGGCAGTTTTTAAGCCTGAGAAAGTTTTTAAGATAATTACGCCTTGCTAAATCACCATAAATCTGTTGTAAAATATGTGCTTCATACTGAAGCTCCTTGTAGAGTTCTTGCATGCTGTATGAAACAATATCTCATGCAAAGTCTAGCTACGAAAAATACAGCTCTTAGAACAGCTAAATGTACAGCAAAATTGACAACATCATTAGAGTGCAGTTGTCACAGAGCAAAGTATAAGTGTTGCTCTCTGCTTGGGTTTGCAGTAAGAGCAGATCCACTTTTAGAAACATTGCAGCAGGCTTCATTCACACTAGAGTAAATGAACATCAGTTTCCTTATTTAAATGAGCCTGTCTTTAGCATAAACTAAACACATATTTGCATGATTTTTATTATATGAGTAAGGAACTGTGACCACTGTGTTAAAGATTATTCTACAAAGAAATTACTTTGTTGAAATCTGTTAAAAATCAACACTGTGGTACTGAGGAAAGAATCTCAGTACTTGGTGTGTAGTAAGAGACCTTGATGATTCACCTTCTGAGAGCAGTTAAGACATCAGCTGAGAATCATTTATTAATTCTTTAAAATAAAGCCTACTACAGTTTACCTGAATGTAATCACATCCTAATTGCTTATTCATTCAAGCAGTCCTATTTTAATCAACCACTCGTGTATAAAACAAGCAGGGAGTTTACCTGAGGTTTTCAAAATAGGTCTTCAGTACTGCTAATACAGGAATACTCACCAATAATTTGTCTTTTTTTTTTTTCCATCAGTCAGCTAAGTAGTCACCAAATATTTTCTTTTATAATTTAGGTTTTTTAAATACAGTTTTTGAAGGGGAAAAAAAGGCATTTATTGTTTGGCTTGTTGTAGGCTTGGTTTTAATAAAAGTTTAAATTTTAATACACTTTTTTAATGTTGCATTACCTTCTGATTTAATCTTTTTTCCAAGGAAAAAAAGTTTTAAATAGGAGCAGTTGTTTTCCTAAGGAAAAAAAAAATCTTTTCCACTGGCTAGTTACTAATTCACAGGTAATTATCTAAATAATATTAAAAAATAGTTTTTGTTTTTCCAAACAGACACAGCAGACATGATTCCAACCTTTTCATCCCCACTAGATGTCCGGATCACATCCCTCTGCTTATACCGAGGCCTCTTCACAGAAAGAAAAAAGTAGTCCATGTATCCAGCCAAATTCCCCTTCCATCTGGGCTGGGAGGCTCCATCTGCACACTGCTCATATCAGTTCCATCAGTAAGCAGGAAGGACTGAGGAAGAGTTCTAGTTAGGAGCAGATGGTGTTCCAACTTCTAAAAAATGCCCCTTAAGTGCTTTAAGAGAGGAGTACCAATTGATCTCTCCTGGAAATACTTTGCTGAATTATTCTGTTTCTTCAAATGCCTTTAGCTCCTGTGTAGAACTATTGTCCTCCTCTCTCCAGTAAGAATTACCAGCAATGGGAAAACATGCCCTTTACAGGAAGAAGTAGAGGCAAATTCTGTGTTGTTAAAGACTCCTATATAAATAACACCAGGGATGAAGAAGTCAGCCTGACACAAATTATCTGAAGACTCACTGATTTAGGAATCTCTGAGGGCTCAATTCAAAACTACTGGAAATCACTTTGGCAAGTTCATGAATACAGCAGCCATCCTAGTAAAATCTTTGCACTCCTGGGTGCTAAGGTAAGCAGTGTTTTGTCTGAGAAGTACCATGTGCACATAATGCATTCTGTAGTTAATAAAGAGGAGGCCATCCAGCACTTGGAGGGCTGATGCAGATGGTCTTTATTCACCTGCTAGTGGGCTAAACAAAAGTAGAACCCCATACAAAGATCACTGGCAGCAGAGCACAGATGCTCAAACAGAGGACATGTCCAGGTAAGTAAGAATTAAGTATGTGATAACTCATTAGTTATAACTGAATGGTGCCCTTAGTAAGTAGAAAATGAGAAGCACTTTACATGTTGACGCTTGTATTTTGCTGACATATTTTTCCTGCATGTATCTCGGAAATAGCATATGTCTTTTGTTGTGCTCGAGTGAGTCTGGGGTTTGTTTATGATGAATGGTAGGGTACCCACAAGAGTGTAACTATGCGTTAGTGCCAAAGGATCACACAGGAGCTGTCTGTGGGCATTGTGATGTACTGTGTACAAGAGAGACTCATGTATTTACTAAAAAGGCCTGTTTTTCCTGACTAGACATAGTTCCTTTGAGGAGAAAGTGTTTCATTTTCAGCAGATCTATCTCATTCTGTTCATTCTTTCCTGAGAGGATGCAGAGGAATGTGACTTAACCATGGGGGAGTGAAGAATGATATGGTAAATAGCCATCCACCAAATTCTTCTGTGTTTTTCTGGCTATTGCTGTGATATATAGCTAATGACACAGAGAAAAGCAAACTTTTTGTAAACCTTGTATCACATGATCTGCAAGAGTCTCATGTGTTTGTTCTGGAGTGGAGTCTCCTTGGCAAACCCTCCAGAAAAGGGCTGAAGGAGAAAGAGAGGGTTTCTCCACATTGAAAGACAGGCTTTCTGTGGAGGTCATACTAATCTGTGAGGCAGACCTGGGCCTGCTCCCCAGCTTTCATCGTCTCCCCACCCCACTGCAGATTTCCAGCCCCATTGGATGAAGTACGTTCTCTAGCTGGCTTACACAGCCTGTGAGCTGCACAAATTCTGCCCCATCCTCCCCTTCTGTGTGGCCAGGGGAATGGTGATGCTGATTTGGAGGTGAGGAGTGACTGGTATCAGAGCAGGGATGCTCCCTCAAGTCAGCAGTATGATCTTGCTTGG